CCTGCAGATTAACGCGCACATTGCTGGTCACAGCAAAACAGACAACAGTATTGCTTAGCTAGTAGCTAACGAAAAAGACAAACTGAGATTTAAGACGAACATTAATATTTTGGAGACGAATGGACTTATTTGCATTCATTAGCACTCCAGCTGCTTTCCTGTTACATTTAATCTGCAACGAGAAACTGTCAAACACTGAAAAGTCGCAAAGCTGAAGTCAGTTTCTCATTCGCCAGTTTCTTGTTCCACGTTAAATGGTGCAGCAGTTACATTCTGCTACCCCAGGCACCATTTAAGGTGGAAAGGGGAAATTCAATCAAGAAGCTGGCAAATGAGAAGCTGAATTCAGCCTCGTAAAAAGTCGAGCGTTGAGAGACATTTTAAAAGAAGTTATTTCACTTTGGAGGAAAAGTTTCCTGCTGGAGATGCGAGAAAAGTGGCTATAGCTGAGCTAAAGCTAAAAACAAAGTAAGTCTGCATTTTCGTTTAAATTATATTTTTAGCGTATACTAGCACATTAGCTCATACTGAGAAATATTTACAGCCAAGATGGTAAAATGGACATAAAATGTTGTGGCTCTCAAGGTGGTTTGATTTTTGTTGAAAGGACAAAATGGCTCTTCTTAACATTTGGGTTGCCGACTCCTGACCTAGGGGTTGTATGGCTGTTCATTTTTACTGCACAAGTCTAATTTTAAAAAGTAGTTGATTGGTTCTCATTGCCATAGTGAAATAAGTAAATTGGCAACAATGAAACAAATGAAAAAGCCCAGTATCATGTTTTTAAGATCTTCAGTTTGTCCCATTTAAAAAAAAAACCTTTCCTGTTCCTAAATTATTGAAGAATTTAGTTTGAAGCTATGCCACTTTATTTCAACTGAGTTTGTTTTTGTTGCACACACATTGTTGAACTGCACTATTTTATTATTATTAATGTAAATAATAGTGATAGTTGTTTTTTATTTAAGGATTAATTCTTGCCGTTTACATCTTTATAAACTTTTGGCCTACATCATATCTCTGTATAGCCTTGTGTATGCGTGTAGGTTGCTGCTGGCTGACAGCTAGCATAAGCGAATTTGAATAAACAAATTATCAACATTAATATTTTACTTGAGCCAGGAAAAAACAATGAAAACAAAATCAATAACAAGAATCAAAATGTGATCCAAGTAAAATATAGATTAATGCAGCAGAACCATTGTGTGTGATATGTGGAGAGAAGCTAGCAAATGAGGCTATGAAGCTGTCCAATCACTTCACCGTTTGGAGACAAAACATTCCTCAACAATGGAAAAAGCATAGGCTAATCTTGTGTCTCATGGCGTTCCCCTCAAGCTCCCAAACTGGTCATTCAAAACTGCTGTGGGCTGTAGTTTTCACTTTAAAAAAAATGAGAAACCCTGGACTAGTCTATGAAACTCCTACAAGAAACGCCCTGTAAACTACACAGTTCATCCAAACATTCCCTGGCTTCACACAACACAATAGAGTGGTTGAAATGTAAGGCATAAATATAATGGAATAGTCCTTTAAGTGCATGTTGAACTATAAAAGCTCCCGTGTGTCAGTCCTGTGGTATTTAGTCCTGCGGTATTTACATAGCCTCCCGCTGAGCGAGCTGTTCCGCACCGCTTTATTGAATAAGCACAGTGGGGTGGCGTCCATGCACAGCTGACATTTTCTCCAGCCTTGCCTATGAGCCTACACATTCTGTAGCATATCCATGAAATACACTGTGTGTGTGTGTGTGTGTGTGCGCGCACATGTGTGTGTGTGTGTGTGCGTGTGTGTTGGAGTAAAGGTCAGTGCACTGCCACATGCTACCTCTGCCTGACAAACTCTTCTTTACCATGCAAGCCTTCTGGCTCTCGACCATCTAACAAAACAACCTGTGACTTTCACTGCCTCCAGCAACATCTCACACACACTCACACTCACAAACTGACACACAAAGACAATGTAAATATAACCTTACTGTTTCTCCAATTCTGTTTTTTTTCCCCTCTCAAACTCTGTTATACACTGGCAGTAGCTGCGGTTCAACGCAATGATTTTTAAACAATGATGAAAAAATGTAACTGGAGATGTGCACTCCAACTCATTTTGATAGTCTAGTATCTATAAAAGTTCATGAACAGATAAATAGGAGGAAGAAAGGAACTTAACTTTTTAGGAGGCAGCACTGGTGTTGCACAAAATAGCACCACGCAGAGGAACAGATTTTGTTATTCAGAAACAGCTGAGGGAAATCAGTAGGTTTTTGTTTTGGATGAGTAACTGCCTCTTTAGTGACATAATGAGTTTACAGAACAAACCTGTGTCACGTTGGATGCTGATGAGGACTTGTTGTCTTCTACACCAGGTAGGGGGAACACAGGGAAACCAGAAACATGTCGGACCTTTTTTCCCGTTAAACTAAAACTTATGCCATGGCAGTTTTTTGCAGGAGATGACGTAAAGCTTTTTCATCGCTAAAAGTCAGTTTAAAGAAAAAAGTGCAAAATTATTTGATGCATTTTCATTGTATCGCTTGCAGTTTGCACAGAAAGTTGATGGAAACATATCTCGGTTGTTGTCTTCTGCATTTGGAGCCAGCACAACAGAAAAGAGGTCACTAGGGGTGTAACAATACTTACCGACACAATGCACTGTGATGCAGTAATGTGATATTGCTCATTGTGGAGATGTGACAATGTGTTTCAGTCAGCATATCCCACATGCATATTCAGTATTATACAACACTTCCAGCTCCAGGCTAGTGCCCTGGTCTACTGGCTGTAGTCTCATTACTATGCTGGGCAATGCTAAACACTTTTTAAATATTGACTTGCTTGCTCACCTACAAAGATGAAAATCCAGCTTGCTTCTGGTTTTGTGAATCATCCACATAATATATATAAATATATATTAGTAATAGCTAATGCAGATGTTTGCACTTTCCTAAACAATGCAGCCGCACAATTTAGGTTAAATATGCTACTTTAATAATTATGTGCAGAATTATATGCTACATTAAAATCACTGTGCACATTTTTAGTATGTGCATAATGTGACATTCTGGACTGATATGTTTCGTTTTTTTGGCCTACTTTCATTAATTGTCTGTTATGTTGATTGATATGTTGACTGATTTAATATAGTAGGGGAGCACAATCTGGAACAGTAGGAATCACGACAATCCCGGATTGTACATTGAAGGTTGTTTGAATAGAAGTGGTGTCTAATTGTAGTTTTGGAGGTTTGATGATGCAACCAACTGTAAACGTGATCCTTTGAGAAAGTTTTGCCTCTTACACTGTTGTAGGGACAATAAACCTGCGCCGTCTATCAGGCAGGTTCATCACAGCTCCAGCTGAGTAACTGTGGTATTAAGCGTGGACAGTGTTCGCTTCAGATGCAAAGCTGTGTTTTATAGGGTTTGTCTAATGTTTTTTGTATTTTCTCTGACCTTCCCATGTTAACTGATGCCTGAGGGTTTTTGTCCTGCGTATCGCTTCATATTTACACCTCAGTACTGTGCAAAAGTCAGAATCCGTCTTCATTTATTTATTTCCAGTCAAAGTGGTCATTAGTTATTCATTTTTAGCAGATATATTTCACAGAAAATGTGTTGACTCAACAATTACAGCTTCTGTTCTTTTTGAGAGATATTTTTCCACACCCTGAAGTTCAGTTCAGTAAGTTGGTTGCATTTTCTGCTTCTCAATAATTCCAAATAATTCCACATTCAGTAATGTTGAGGTCTGGACTTTAGGGTGGTTAGTCCACTGTTCTGAGAACACTAGTAGCTTTTTGTTTGAAAAGCAAATTTCTTTCTTTTATTGTCTATTTCCATTTCTCAGCAATAGTTTCTTGACAGCTACACATCCTTTCAGACTCACAGTGTTGAGTTGTCTTCTCACAGTGGAAGGATGGACAGAAACACCTGTAGATTTTTTCAGATCTGAAGAGTGGAGCTTGATTTTCTCTCAAAGGTGAAAGCTTTAACTACTGTTCATCTGATGCCGATAGTTTGGGTGGTCTACCAGGTCTTGCATGGTTGTTAGGAGTCCCAATTTCCCTGCATTTCTCTCTGAATAATTTTTCAATTCCAGTTTTGGAAACTTCTGTTTTTTTGCAATTGTTTTTGTTGATATGATTTTCTGGACGTTTCTAGAGGTGCCAGTAAAGTGAAATGTTTATTTTTTTCCTATTCTGTATGTTTGCCTCAATAAAAGCTTAGATTTCTGTCTTTTTTGTGCAAGCTCAAGCTGAAGACATTTTTTCATATCGCTTTTTGCTCCTTACTAAGAGACAATTAATATTAAACAATAATTCTGAAATAATAATTATGAAAATATTGAGTCCTGGCCTGATATAAAATGGGCCTACTTGTTTCTGTGAATAAGTTCGTTGTATGACCTCTCTCAGTAGACTGGGCAGTAGAAATCCTGTATAATAAGGCCAGCCAACTTATGACCTTAATACAAGCTTTATAATTGTTATTGTATCACCCTCAGTCCAGTACTCAGAGGGCCAGAGCATGTAAGCAGAGATATTGTGTTGGACCTGGCACGCTTTACTCTGCTTTGGCTGATGGATAAGATTGATATAATCTACTGATCTACTGACATCCTCTTTTACTCACCCAGACATATTTCATTATGGTTGTATTAGTACAGTTTCATATTAGTGAAGTTCAGTCGGCTATCGTCCTTCTGATTAAGATGAGATTCTCCAGATCTGCACAGTCTTTAATGAGTCTCACTGCATACAGGTGAAATATATCAGGGTACAGACGTAAACGTAACAATAAAAGGTAAATGTTTGGGGTCTGAATGTTCAGAAATGTTTGACCTTGTGAGAGGATTAAAGTCAAAACTATATCCTGCTATCATTTACTGTATGTCATACATGTGCTGTATTTTCAGTGGTTCAGGAAAAAGTTTTGCCTGATAAAAGCAGAGATTAACTGTCTCTTTTTTCCCTCTTTCTTCTCTCCCTCTCTCTGTCAATAGATCCCCAGCTCAAGGGTATAGTGACCAGGTTATATTGCAGGCAGGGATACTACTTGCAAATGAACCCAGATGGATCTCTTGATGGGACCAAGGATGACAGCAGTAATTCTTGTGAGTTCATTTCGCTCATTTTATTGTGCCACATGCAGCAAACATATTAGGGGTTTAACAATACACGTATTTTAGGTTTGATTTGATTTTCGATTTAGGATTCCTTTGGATTTTTGATATTTTATATGTTGAAATTCTCTTTATTTTATAGAGCCTTGATTATATATTGCACAGATTGATTATCAAATAAAATATTTCTGTCCCTGCTGCACCATGGGAGACCCTCAGAAAGAGACAGAGGGGTGCCTCAGTGATGCAAATCAAAATTTTGGTACACTGTTACAGGACCCTAAATATAGATGTATTTTAGCAGTATATATAATCAACATATACAGTTGTATGCAAAAGTTTGAACGCTCAAGTCAGCTTACATGTTTTGTGGACTGCACAGTCCACATTTTATTTTTTTTCGAATATGTAAGATACAGCAAATAAACAGTGATTGTGCACTAAATGTGCAGAGGTGTGTTTTCTGTAGAGGATGTTTAACCTTATTTAATTTGACCAAGGGCAACAAAACTTTTGCGTATGATTGTAAATGTGTTCTAGCCGTACTTTTAATACATTTAATATACCAGAGCCGCCCCAATTGAGGCTGAAAGTTGGTGCACAAGGACATTCGATTTGGCCTTTCCTGAAGATTACCCCTACTTTCCCACCCCCTCACCCAATGAGAGAACAGATATTTTAATAAAACTTCTTGTTTTTCTTTAAGATTTTTTTTTTTTAATATTTTAACAAGGATTTCACTTGAGATTTAGGCACAACTGGTTTTAAAGACAAAGCATTCTGCTTCAAATGTAAATGCTTACATTTTTTCTCATATTAATGATGTCCAGGATGATGTCCCCCACATGTCGTTTAATTCTTTAGATATGCTTCAAATATAATATTGACTGGTAGAAGAATTATTATATGCACACAAATAATGTGTGTTCACAAACTGAATGTGGACATATTAGACCTCATTTATCATTTACGGTGCAATATGAATGTATGCAGAGGTTTGTGTGAAAAATAATTAAATGAAAGTCTCACCTGAAAACCTCATTTTGCATTGTAGCATAAGCCCAGTTTTATAAATAGAGTCAGTGAATAAAAGACTTTGGCCTTTTAAATTAAATCATTTGTATGTTCTCAAATTCCATCCTCACTTCAGTCAAACACTGCTTACAATTTGTTGGCTAATTAAATGAATCATGAGAAATTTATGATTTTTGATCAGTTTTAAATGTCAGAGCAAGTGTACTCACGAAAGAGCTTCACTCACTGACTGCAAATGCAGTCAGCACTGAATACATTTGCTGGAAACAGATAACTGGTCCAGTATTTTATTTCAATAATTTACTTATGTGTTGACTGTTATTTTGAATTGAAATGTAGAATTTGTATTCAAATATATACAAATTCAAATTTGAATACAATTTCAGTAATTTCCCAGATGTATTATATCAGTCAAGAAATGTTTAATGCCCAAATACTTCTTCAGTTTAGCACTGAAGCTACATGTTGCTAACAAACACTACAATTCAATAGTCACCCAAATGTTTTTGTTAAATACATCCTGAAAACATCTTTTAACCTGCTCAAAACTCCCATGCAGAATTTGGCTCCATGTTAACACGTATCACACAGAGATATGGACATTTGATTAACTTAAAAATTTGAAAGTAAGAAAATAGTAAGTGTACAATGTGCAAAAGTTGTTAACACCACAGTCAGTGCTTAGTAGCACCCTCTTTGGCAGATATTATGGCCAGCTAGGAATCTCTCTATTTTTATTTTAGGAATTTTCACCCACACTTCTACAATATTATTGGGTTGGTTTTAAACGCTTTACAAGTCAGAGATCTGTCAGCTTGAGTTTCCTGAAATAGTTCATTTTGGATTTTGATGTATGTTTTGGATCATTATGCTGTTGTAGAGACCGGCCTCTTTTCAGCTTCAGTTTCTTTACTGACTGTGTCACAGCTGCGTAAAAGATTTGCTGATATTTAGAGGAATCCATTTTTCCATTTACCCTGTGGCACTGACTTCCATACAAACCCAAAGTATAATAGATACACTCCCATGTTTCACAGTTGGCAAGGTGTTCTTTTCATCAAATGCTGCTTCCTTTTTTCGCCGCCTTCTTTTTTTTTGGTGATGGTGGCCGAAGAGTTCAATTTTCAGTTCATCAGCTCACAGCAGTTATTTCCAAAATGCCTCTGTCTTACATAGATGTTTCACATACTTCACATGTCTTTTTTGATGAGGTTTCAGGCTGTGTTTTCTTCTGATGACTGTTCCATGCAGATCATGTTTGTGCAAACACAGAATGGTGCACCATCACTCCAGTGCCAGCTAAACTCCTCTGCAGGTCCTTTGCTGTCATATGCAGGTTTTGCTTTGTCTATCAGGCCAGCATATGAGCAGTTCTATCTGAGTTTCTTGGTTGTCCAGTTCGTGCCTCAATTTCCACAGTTACCTTTCACTGCCATTTCTTAATGACATTTCAGACAGTGGAAACTGTGTGCTGGAAGAACTTTAATATCTTTTTGTAGCCTTGCCTTTCTTTGTAGGCATCAGTTAGGTTCATTTTCAGATCCTGGTTGTTGAGTGTTAGACCACAGTCCCACATTTCATCAACTGAACATTCCTAATGACAGTTTTTGACCTGTCTAATCGGTCCTTTCTAATAAGTCAGTTAAGGTGACGAGTTAAGTAAGTGGTGAGACTTCACGGTTGCAACTTTGTCCAAACCTTTGCACCTATTGCAATTATTATTATTATTATTATTATTATTAAGTTATGTTATTATAAGTTTACTACAGAGCTTGTGTTTGCAGCTATATATATATATATATATATATATATATATATATATATATATATATACAAACTTGACCAGGAGTGCCCAAACATACAACAGTGTATGTTCACTCTGAAAATTCAAGTTTAACAGTTATTTCTAAAAAAAAAAAACCAGAAATTGTGAACGTAGTCTGTGTTATCTATATGCTGGCATGACATGCGTGCACATGATGGGGTGTCAGAATTCAGCACAACACCTGTTGTCAAAAATGGTATTTTGTTCATTTTTGTAGATCTCAGTAAGTCAGGTGTGGTTTTAGAGAGTTGAAAAAGGTGTTGAGGATGTAATTATGGAAATAATTAGGTGACTATTGACTTCCGGTGTTGTTAGCAATGTTACCCTCAAAGCTCCAGCATCAAACTAAAGAAGCAAAATTTGGAAACATGTCTTGGCTGATCAACTACATCTGGGTACATGGCAAAATGCGTAAATCTGATTTTTTGCTGAACCATTCCTTTAAATAAATAAGGCCCAGTTTCCCATTCATACACAAGAGAAGTCTTCCATTGACTGTAGTAGAATGATTCAATAACTGCCTGTAGTTGGTGTTGATGAAATGGTAGTAAGATCATCCCTGAGGAGAAGTATGCATATGTGTGTGAGTATATGCAAGGAAGTGGCACAGGAAGGAGTGGAGTATTAATAGCATGTACGGAGCCTGCTTTTCTACTGCTTCAGGCTAGCTGCTTAATTTGATTTCAGTTGATTGCAGAAAGAGTGACATACAGAGAGTATTGTGTGAGTCACACAAAGACGTACACCGGCACACATGCACAAACATGCGCAGTTTGCCTCAACGTGTATAGATAGTATATTCAGCTTGTGAAAGGCTTGGTAATGAGATGATGAGCTGAATGGGGACTTCTATAGGAGTGAAAATGTGAGACTGTGGCTTCCCTGGACTCCTGCTTTATACCCCCAGTATAGATTAGAGCCTTTTCATGGATATATGAGACAACCCAAACCAATAAAGACATTTTTATTTAAGCCAAACCATCAAAATTAAAAATTTTATTGGTTAAATGTTTCTCTTTTTGGTTCTGGAAAAATAGTGATGATTCTTTTAAAATTTCTTTAGACAAAGTGGAGAAATGAAAAACCTCTGACCCCCATAAAATCATAATAATTACTCACAGCATCAAAACTTAGAAGGCTCTCAGTCTTGAATGTGCAATGGTTGACTTCCTGACTTTAGTTCAGTTGCAGATGAAGATGAATGTTATTATTTTGGCAAATCAGAGCACAACGTGTGACTTCACTGAGACCTCTACAAAAACTCAAGAGAGGATGTGAGGTTACTGGGGTCTTTTGCAACGTCTGAACAGCAGGAGATTTAAACAAAAGTCTCTTCTGTGTTTACGTCTGATTTTACTGTTGACTAGGAGAAAATGAAAGAGATATCAAATATCTTTTTTTGTTTTATTCTTCCATAAGGGAATAATAAGCATGTATAGCTTTTCACAGATCTCAGAAAAAGATAAATGGGGACGCCTTTGAAAAGACTTAAAATGGAACTTCAGCTAAGATGGAAATTGAAAATATTGTTACATCTGTTGGAAACACGTCTACTTGACCCCTACAGCTGTACCACAGCGGTGTCTAGAGGGGAATTTTGTGGTGGAAGGAACTTTGGAAAAACTACAACTTGTTTGGGATAGATTTTTTTTGGTAACACTTTATTTGGAGTTGTCCTTTTTAGAGGATCAATTAACTCTTAACGGATTATCAGTAACACATCCGGTAAGCCGTATAGCTAGGGTTAATGCTAGCAAGCTTAGCTGTCTAACTTCCATCAGATGTGTATTTTTAGCCTCTACATCAGTAGTTATGCTAGCCATCAAGATTGTTTGCTGGGGTGATTCCCAATGATTATATGAAGTGCTGTGCATGCTGGGTATTGTGGTAAAAGAATAGTATAGATACTCAGCCAGCTGCTTAGAGGAGCCTATGGTTGTTGAGTATTAGCACAAATTTTGAAGAGTCAGAGAATTAATCACTATCTGGATTTGTCATCAGCTGAAAATTCCTAATGGCAGTTCCTGACCCGCCTAATCAGTTCTGTATAACAAGTCAGTTAGAGCCTAATGAGTTAATTTGGTGCTCAGACTTTAAAATTAAAATGGTATCTAAACTTTTGAGCAAAGAAGTTGAGAATAGGAATTCTGTCAAATTAATGAGGCTGAGGGATACAATGTAATATTCTGTGCTACAGAATATTACATAACATCACAAATAACATGTTTTATAATATAGTTTATAAACATTATATTTAAATATTGTGTAAAAAATGATCCATCAAGTTTTATTTCTTAGAGCAAGAGAAACCAGTAAGAGAATTTTAAGTATGTATTATCATCAAGCAAACTGCAAACTCATCAATTCATAAAAACGTTAAGATTTTTTTTAGAACCTAGTTTAATCAGTGAATCCTGACAGCCCTACTATATAAACACAGTTCAGAATTTCTTCTCACAATCAGTCAAAGCACTCCCAGCTGGGCCACTTGCATTCCGCTACAGCAGCACCGTGGTGCTCTTGGCTGGGCTTTCCTGACATCAGTCAATCACGTGAGCTGGAAGCCGATAGCAATTACCCGTGAGTTCACTCCGCTGCAGGTTTGAATAAGCTGTACGGACGCGCTTACTCTCCCCGCCGGGCCTGCCATTCTTCAGCTGCACAAACAATAGCCGTTACCTAATAAGCCCGGAGAGCACACTCCACCAACAAAGGATCCTTTAAATCTGCCATGCACCACTGCTGCCTCCAGTTACTTCCTTGTAACAGCCCATCCCTGCCTTAGTGCTCCAGGATCCGGCGGGGTACAGGAGATGCCCACTGGGGGATCAGAGAAGTGAGTCAGCATTGTTCAGCATTGCACGTTTAAAGCACATTGGTGATTGGGGTGTTGCTGACAGCTCAGTCGAGCTGTAGTGATATGGATCGTGAATGACCGGCAGTGGAATGCCAGTGTGTGTGTAAAAGGAGCGGGTTAGAATAATTATGGTGCTGTGCCAAATCCAGTGAGGCCCCGTCATTTTCTCAATATGAGTATTGAGTTGTGGGCTGAAAACATTGAGGGAAGCTATGTGTTAAGCATTAATAAGGTGCCAGGTTAGTTCAAGCGATTATTTGACAGACATATTTTTATGGTGATGTATGGGCAGAAGGGAACCCTCAGGGCTTTCTAGGCCTTTAATGATTTCTGGGAGCTAAAAAATACATGTCTGAATTTTTAGTTCATTTGTGTTCAGTAGAATTTAAACTCTGCATGTGTTACAGTACTCATTTCATTGTTTTGTAGATGGAAACAAAAGTGCTAAAATCTCAAAACACCCAGTGGAAAATTGGCCAATCAGGAATTGTTTTTCTCCATGGTATCTAGGCAGATAGATATAGCTAAGCAACCTGTCCAATTCGTTAAAACTTCAAGAGCTGAAGAGAATGCCTAAAGCATTATCAGCAATATTGTGAATGGACAGAGGAGTCAGGAATGAGGAATGAGTCACGTTTTGATTTACTGTTAGCTTAGCACTATGAAATCACTAGAATTCCATAGGGGCACTAGCAGAAGTTAGCATAATCCTAGAGGTTTTTTCTAATATTTTGAGTTTTGACATTTATAGCCTGTATTGAACATGTAGCTCTAGTATTCATGGTTTGCTGTGTAGAAGTAGGGCTGAGTATTTACAATACAATATTGTATTTTACAGTACAATATTTTATCAGCTTTGCAGTATGATGTTTTTCACAATAAGGTGCAATACATTACTATACATGGTGATAAGATACGAAGACAAGACACACCCACCAGGGCCCGTATTCATGAAACTTGTTAAATTAGTACTCAGCCATGTTTGCTACGAGGCTAATCTAGCTAACAAATTTGTAATGGAAGTTTATGGTGCAAACTGCACCATAAACTCCAGATACCAAACATTGCTTTGGCTAATTGACCACATTTAGGGTCAGGGGAAAAGATAATGCAAATTAACTTTTTGCTAAACTATTGCTTTCATATTGCTTTGTGCTCTAACCATTTGACGAACACTATCTACATAACGACTTTGCTCTCTGCTGTTTCCCTGCAGCATTGTTCAATCTCATCCCTGTGGGCCTCCGAGTTGTTGCTATTCAGTCCGTGAAGACAGGGTTATACATCGCCATGAATGGAGAAGGCCATCTGTACACATCAGTGAGTACCCAAAAACATCACGAGAGCAGCATGCCCTCTGGCTAAGGTCAACATCGGAATCACAATGCTTAGGTTATCTATGCTTTTGTTTGTTTTCTTTGTTTTGAGCTTCTTTTTCTTTGTCTGAGGTTTGGCAAACAATTCAAATACCAGCTTTTTGAGAGCTGTTCTGAAATGGTTATTTATTTCTGTCTTTCTTTCATGTGCTCATAATAAGAAACCTGTTTCATGCAACTGGTGACTTTTTTAATTCATAAAACGCCATGAACATGGGTGACATGGAGAGCTGAATCACATTCACACTTTCTCAAATGCCACAGCATCAGTCAGAGGCCCAGTTGAAGCCATTGCTGTGAGATTGAAGGGAAATTCAACTGATTATTCTAAATTATGGCATAATTCAGTCATTGAGATGTAAACAGTCATTCAGTGTGGTTTTATCTGGAATGGTTTACTGTAGAGAAGCTTAAAGATTTCTTTACAGTGTTGCTGATTTTTCTTTGGGGACTATTTTTCCATACATCACCCTACACGTACCTGTCCAGCAAGAATGTGTACAACGCCAAATCATTATCTCAGAACTATCATCAATTAGAGTCTTGTTAGCATGTAATGACTTTCAGTGAGATTTCAGAGATTTTAGAGATGTTATATGCTTCAGACATCTGGATTGTATCAGCACCACTGTGAACCATTCTGGCTCTCTAGAATTTCACATCAAAAAACTTTGAATGTCTATGTTTACATCAACAATTAAATTATGCAGAAACCATTTGAAAAACTGGTGAACTTCCCCTTTAATACAAACACATGAGCTCACATACAAAAGAACTCAGGGGTACTCCAGGTCCAGGACTGGGAACCAGTGCTGATATATAGGTTGATAAGGTGTAGGATGGTAGTAAAGATTAATAGTAAAACTTTTAATTTATTTAAAATTACAGTTAGATAGTGTTTTATTGGTAGTGCTTTTCTATGGAGATTTTACAAGCAGTTTGTGTGCAATTGAATGTTGTTGACTAGAGAGGTATAAAGCCCCCCAGCACTGGGCTGTAGCAGTGGAACTGTGTCCTCTGAGTGATGGAGCTCCATCTAATACCTTTGGGATGAGTTGGAGTGCCAGAACTAACAATTCAACATCAGTGCCTGACCACACTAATGCTCTTGTGGCTGAATGCAATCAAATCCTCATAGTAATGTTGCAACATCTAGTGCAATCCTTCTTTGAAGAGTAGAGGCTCTTACTGCAGCACAGGGTGACTTCCTTCCTATTAATACCATTGATTTCAGAAGAAACGTTGGGTGAGCTGGTGTCTACAAACCTTTGGAAATATAGTGTAAGTAGATAGATAGATCTACCAGTCACTCCCCAGTCCTTAAACTACCCGTTTTGAATTCATTCAGCTCCACTCATTTACGCTGAAGTTAAAAGGAGTGTTTCAGCCTGGACTGCTTTTTTGAATGAGGCACAATACAGGTCAGCTAATCAGAACAGAGCTTATTTACATATTTCAGTCTTAAAGGCACAGTAACAAACGCAGTCTGTTCAGTTCTAAGAGACGAAGAGAGGTTGAAAAATGGTCGTGTAAAATCAATTCTGACCGTTCTTGGTATATAAAACCACACAAATGTCATTTGCAGAGGTTGTTCAGGCTTCACCTGGAAACTAAAACCTCCTGTATTCAGCCACGTCTGACCAACATCTTTCACAGGGGAGTCTTACACAATGACTGTCTCTCTCTCTTTACTTGCTAATCAACTCTAAAGATGTGCCCCCGCACACTCTCTCTCTCTCTCTCTCTCTCTCTCTCTCTCCCTCCCCTCTTCCTTCTCTCTGTTCTCTCTGCTGTGTGAATGAGTCAAGTAATGGCTGAGAATTCTCACCTCCTTTATTCCTCGCTCTGGACTCCGTTTGGAGCATCTGTTATTGTCCCTCTTTCCTCCAAGAATGTGCCGCTATCGTTTGATCCCAACATCCATTAGGTGCCCATCACTCATTACAAGCAATTTCAGTGCACTTACCCAGTAAATGCTTGCAGCGTCTGACATATTTCCAGGTGCCATCGTGTCAAATATGAATTCAGCCCTTTAATTTAGCCATTTTCCACATACATATATAGTTCATTGAATCTGAATGCAAAGATATGCTCTTACATGTTGATCTTTTAAAATATATCCCCAAAAGCATGTATTTCACGTTTTTAGGCACTTTGATTGCTGCAAAAAATAAATTATTTACACATTTAAGGTGTTGGCAGTATATCTTACATTTCATTGTAAGATTGTTATATGAGTATTATTAGATAATTTAACCTACTTTTAGACTTTAAAGTAATCTTGTAAAATCTTACAATTATATGGTGTATAATTTAGCTTTAGTTTTAAGAAATAATGCTTCAAGTCAAATAATCCAGTGCAGTAATATATTTCTGCTTGATATTATTACTTACTATTATTGTTATTATTGTTAAGTGAAAATGTTTTGAAATACATTGTATCATCTTATAACATTCTTATGACTGTGTTGTAGTAGAAACTTTTAAAGGGGATGTCAACTCGAATGAAAAATGCAAAGATATCTCAATGATCATTAAGTCAGATTTAAAAAATAAGCCAGAAATGCTCAACTTCTCTGCCTGTTTAGGACTGAGTGAGTCTTTCAGACCACATAGTGATTGACAGTGGCAACAACCAGCGACTTTACGCTGACCCATGCCAGTTTGTTTGTCATATGAAATTGGTCAAACCCACAATTCATTAATATTCAAAAAGATGGCTGGAAATCCTCCAGTCTGTTGAGACTGATTGAACTGGGAGCAAATTCACTCCCAATTCTATCACTTGCTCTCTGCTTTATTTGGCCATAAAATTAATGACATTTGATAGTGTAGGATCAATTGTCGTTCCTCAGCTATAATCAGTCAAACACAAATGAAGCCAGTCGAATAGCCTACTTTGATTTGTGGGGCTCCTTTCTTTCTCGCAGGCGTGCGTGAGAGAGGGTGATGGTCCCGTAGAATAGAGTGCAGAATTCCATTAAAGCGCTCTGCTTAGCCTTCCCTTCTTTTGTCTGAAAGGCCTTTTTTTGTGCGGTACTACGAGTGACCCAATGAGATCAAAATGACGGCGAGACTTTGCACAATGGTCTGATGGCAGAGAACGGAAGAGTTCGGTCCAGGCTTTTGTTCGAAGGCCATAAGCCACAGTCTCATTTTCTCTCGGTGATGCTCATAGGATGATTCACCCAGTGGAATAATAATCAAGGTCGTTTTCTGGATGACTGCAGGTGTGACAGTCGTGTAATTATACAAATTACATGCATATATACAAATGATATGCAGAGCTTGGGACTTTTAGAGCTCAACAAATGCTGTCTCTCTCACACGCTATAACAAATATAGTAAGGTCCACAGTGGTTCAGTGTGATAAAGGTTGGCAATATGGTCAAAATATAATAGAACAATATTTAAGGACATTTTCAAAATATGTATCACATGTATCAGAATATTTTGTTTTTTCTTTTGATAAGTTGGAACAGATACAGTGTACCAGCACATGATCAGAAAAATGGGTACTATACAAGTACATTTTTTAGTCATCAAGACCAACAGTGGTCTTAAGGTCCAACTGTGTACCTTAAGTTTTTTCCAGGTGAAAGGTATGAATTTGTACTTTCTTCATTTGAAGTCAGGACAGGGTATATGGAGTGAATTGCAACTTAATAAATACAACTGCTATCGAATATGGTACAATTACGTTACCTGACCAAAGGTACTGAAGACGTACCCTTTAGGATACCACCCCAGTGACGCAAGGGGCACAAGCATCAGCTGGGCAAGTAAAGATCAGGGGCCCAACCCAGTTCACTCTCAGAATGCTTTGGGGCATCCTCCCCAAGATTTTTAAAACCTTTTTTATGTAATGTGAGAAACTAGATATCAAGAAATCTTGCAGGAATTCAGCATCGATTATTGACGTGACTTCAAAATCATAAAACAAGAGAAGAGAAGAGTGAAAACTCTTGTCACAGAAAACAGAGATGTTTCCTCAATAATGTCATTATTAACTACCTCTTCACATCTCTTCTCTCCCCACATCAACCGTGTCTTCTACACGTCTACTCTGTAATGTGTATAGAGAAACTATTTATTTATTCATTTTTTTCTATATCTTACTGATACTTTGACAGGCTAAAACAAACCGTTGCATCTGGGTAATCTAATCAGCATGTTAGAGGTCTGCTACCCCAACTCAAGGCAGACTGGCATGAGAGAATATCAGGTTTTGGGCCATTTTTTTTTCAGTTTATCAGGCTGGAGTTGGGTTTGTTTTCCAGTGATTCATTTTTTTAATGCCATATATTTGCCCGTTTTACCAAAATTTTGTGCACATTTTCTCTCTGGTAGTCTCTCTCGTTCTCTCTTCTTGCCTCAGGGCTGATTAAAAAATATTCGGGGCTACAGGGGGTACCACCCAAGTGACAATTTAGTACCTTTTTTTCTGAGAGTGTACAATGACAGCTTTTTATGCCTGTTTCACATGCTGTGCAGTAGAGTTGTTACAGTGTCACCCCATGTGTTTTTTCAAAAAAAAATTTAAAATGTATTTGCGTCTATTCCTGTTCATGAGCTCCTTATATCAGCCTGTTTTAGTTAAGACCCCTTCTCTCTCAGCTCCTCCCGAAACTACTGCTATAGCAGCCTTCTCATTTCGTTGTGCGCAGGGGTCTTGGACTTCTTAGTTTAAGTAGATTAGCTCAGCAGTCCATGTCTGTCGTAAAAATATGCTACATTGCTAGTTAGTATTATCACACAAAATGGCTACCAAACAAATTGAAAACATGATTTTATTGTTGCTAAATAAAGCAAACAACAACTTTGTGAACATCCAACAACTAATTCATTCTGAATAAAGCGACTGCATATTTTTATGCAGATTTTAGCATAGTTAGCTAATAGTCATGTAATGTTTGATGCACAGATGTTAGCAGAGTTAGCGCA